TGCACATAGAGATGAACGTGCAGGAATTTAGGAGTGGACTTGTATGCTCAATGCTTGTGTGTGTGTGTGTGTGTGTGTGTGTGTGTGTGTGTGTGTGTGTGTGTGTGTTGGCAGGGGTAACGGTGGAGGGACAACGCCATCCCAGAGAGAGGCTGTCCTTCTCCAAGCTCTGAAATCAGTGAGCCTGGAAGAGGGAGGAGGACAGGCAAGAGAGAGCAATGACCTTCCAGGAACCAGAGATGAAACAGGCAGAAAGCTTGCCAGGAAGGCTAGGGGGAGGGGTAAACAGAGCCAATGGAAAAGTTAATCTGGGAGCATCCCTGTTCCCTGTCTCCTTACACAATAAATATGATTTGGAGCCGAGGGGCAGCAGGTTGTGACAGAATCCCCAACTGAGAATCAAGGGAGCTTTGACACCAACAGGACTCAGTTTCCTCATTTGTAAAATGAGAATTTTTCTATGTTCAAACCTTTCTTACGTATTAGAATGGTTTCTGTTCTGTGTTCTAAAACCCCTTCTGGTTCTGACATTTTATTTTGTTTTGTGGTCTTATTGAGTTTTAACCTTCTACGTTCTGAGGGCCTTTTCCAGCTCTGAAATTCTGTTTTCTGATCTGTTTCCTCCCAATCTGAACATTCTCTATTCCATTAGATAATCATAGAGTTAGATAAGACAAGACAACCCACAGTCGAGAAAGGATCCTTGCTTTAACATCTTTGACAAAGAGGAAGCACATCTCTACTTAAAAATGTCCAACGAAGGAGATGCATCAGGGTCCCTGGTTCACTAATGACGCAGGAGCGTTATAAAGTATGTAGCAGGGAAGAGAAGAGAAAGGAGGGAAAGGGAGAGGAGGGGAGGGGAGGGGTAGGGAAGGAAGTGAACCCTACAATAAGAAAAGGACTAAAGTTGACTAGAATCTCACAAAAGGGAAAACCGATGAACTTGGCTTTCATTCCTGGGGACATCCTAGAAGAGTTCATTAAAAAGGAGGTTGGTGAAATTTTGGAAAGGGAAGCAGTGAATAGAAAGAAATAGCAAGACTTTTTCAAGTCCACTCCTGACTAACCTCATTTCCTTCTTCAACAGCATCACAGAGATCTGAGTAGAATTATGTAGTAATTACATTTTGCATATATTTTAGCAAAGTTTCTCATGTCTCAGAGAATATGGAGAGATGTAGACTAGATAATAATATCACTGTTTGAGTTTATAACTGCTTCGTTGGCCAGACTCAAAGAAAAGCTTTTAATGGTTCCACGTCAATGTGGCAAGAGGTCCTTCCACAACCGAGATAGTGGGGGTCTGCTGATTCCAGATGGTTCAGCTGTAACTTCCATGGTATAGGGCATGCACAGTATGGGAATCCTCTCCACCAGGAAATTCACAACCCTTGTATAATTAAGTAGTTAGACTTTAAGGAATTTCTGGAAACACCAAAGCATTATAGGGCTTTTGGGGATCATACTGATAGTTTCAGAGGTGGGAGGATCTGAATTCTGCTCTTCTGACTCCAAGCCAGCCTCCCATCCCTTACACCAGGTTGCTTCCCATTATATTAAGTTTCTGCAAGATCAGAATGCAGCAACAGCTCATCTTGGTCAAGCCCTATGAGAAACTGAGGAATTGGGACCAGTGCATCAAAGGGAAATGAGAACCTCAAAGGTCAGGTGACCTACCCAAGGTCACTCAGTGAGTCTCAGCTCAGACCCTAGTCTCCAGGGCTATTTTCCCTCTACAATATGGCTTGAGTTCTATAGACTCATCACCTGATGCCTTTAAAAAAAATACATCTCCTTAAGGATTTGTAAGCAAGTGTGATAACGGGCCGATAATATGCCACAGCAGTCAGAGCTGATGAGTATCTGACACAGGCCCTGAATAGGCCCTTCAATTTATCCAGGCCTGGAAGCAGAAGGACTTTGTATTTCAGAGTATTCGTGGCTAAAGGAAATCAGGTCCCCAGTAGTGTAAGGATCAGATAAGGGAAGACAAACATAGCATTTCAGAAACGAAAATATGTACCCCATTTTTAATATTATTTTTTTAAGCTGTGAAGCTGAAGCAGCAACAGATCATACCAGCCATCTTTGCCTTAAAGCAAAGACTTCCAAACCTGGAAGGGCCATAGGCCTGAGCCCTGTGAGGATTAGCTGGAGGAACAGGAAGGTTTAGCCTGAAGAAAAGTGAATAAGAATATAAAAAAAGACCAAGGGAGGCCGAGCAGGGATTTCAGGGATGCTGCCAGGCTTTTGCCTTGGCTTTCTAGCCCCAATTCCTAGCAGGGCACCTGGCATCATAAGCCTTATTAAATGTCTGTTGACTGACTGTGAGGGTCTCCCCTCTCCAGAATGGTTTTATTTGGTTTTGTTGTTATCTTGTGTGTGAATTAAGTTTAAGTGATACAAAGTCATCAGCCTCACTATCTCCTCCTGAGTCACTGAAGTCCAGGGGCAAGACAAATGTCAAGGTTATATTCCATCTGTATTCCATAGGAGAAGCAAGAAAGCCTGGGTTGGACTTCCTCTTTGACCCCCACTGGTTATGTAATCCTGGACAAGTCAGATAACATCTCAGGGGGCTAGGCAGCTCCCCAAGATTAGAAATTACTGCCATTGGGTGGAACTCACCTCCCCAATATGGAAGTTCCATATTTGAAGGAAATCACAGGTACAGTCCCTATTCCAATGTTCTCTATATATTTATGGAATAGAGATTACCCTGGACCCCACTGCCTGAAGGCCAGGTATGGTTTCCTCCCCACCAGGGTTCTCCAGAACCCTTAAGGAGTCATGTGCTCTTTGCCTTTGGCACCAGCCACTACCCATTATGGGCAGCTAGGTGGCACAGTGGAAAGAGTGTTGGGCCTGGAGTCAGGAGGACCTGAGTTCAAATGCAGCCTCAGATACTTACTAGCTATGTGACTCTGGGTAAGTCACTTTATCCTGTTTGCCTCAGTTTCCTTATCTGTGAAAGAAGCTGGGGAAGGGCATCTCTGCCAAGGAAACCTCCAATGGGGTCACCACAACTAAACAACAACAGCCTACCCATTGCATTTATGAGGTCATGATCACTAGCCTTCAAATATCTAAGAGATGGTTTTTTGATTAAGATTAGGCTTATTCTGCTTGTCCCCAGAGGCTAGAACTAGGACCTTCAGATAGAAGTTGCAGGGAGAGAAACTGCAGACAAATTTAAGGAGTAATTTTCTCCTAGCCAGAGATGTCCTACAATAGAAAAGATTACCCCATAAGGTAGTGAGTTCCCCATCACTGGTGGTGTTCCAGCCACCTGCCAGAGACATTGCATAGGGGATTCTGAAAGATGAGGAAGTCTGAATATATCATCTGAGGTCAGAGAATGTAGCTGTAAGGACCCCAGAGATTATTTGGTCCAACCCTCTCACTTAACAGATGAGGAAACTGAGGCTCCACAGAGTTAAAATGACTTGCTCAAGGTCACCGAGATAGGAAATAATAGTAGTGGGATTTGAAACCAAGTCTTTTGACTCCCCAAGCTAATGAATTTTCCCACTTTATCCCATGACTTTTAATCATCTGTCTCTAAGATTCTGGGGCCCTAGGGGATCCAGGCAAGTAGGGGAGGAGGCTGAGAGCTGGGTGGGGGGGTTTTATCTGTAAAATGAGATCACTGTACTGGGACCAATGGGTAGAGGTTACAAAGATGCAAGTTTCAGCTGGTTGTCAGGAATAAAAACATGCCATCCCACAGTGGGATGGGCTGCCTCAAGAGGGAGTGAATTCCCCCTCCCTGGAAGTGTTGAAACAGAGACTGGACGGCCCCTTGTCAGGGATACTGTAGAGGTGATTTTTAGTCATGTCCAAGCAGGCTACACCTGATATGTTCTCTGCGGTTCCTACCAGCTCTGCGGCTCGGGGATTCAGGGAACGGGGATGAAACGTGGAGTACATGGAAGTACGTGGAAGACAAGCTTCCCGCAGCACAGACTTCAAAATGCAAAAGTCTTATGAAATGGTGAACTAGTTCATTTAAAAAATATTGCAGCGAACATATTGGCAAGGGATTGATAGGAAAGTTGAGTCCCAGCACCCCAGATCTGGATCTGAGCCACAGCTAAGGAAAATCACAGACTTCATTTACTAGGCTTATCAGTTTCAATGCAACAAAGCAGGGGCTCTGGATGGGGAGCACTCGTGGATGAAGCTCTGATCTGATGACCAGCTCTGACCATCATAGTTTTAAAAAGTTTCCTGGGGCATGAAGACATAAACGATTTGTCCAGGGTCAAAAATCATTATGTAACAGAGGCTAGATTTGAACTCAAGTTGTACAGGTAAAAATAAGAGGAGAGACTATGCTATAGTAGATTGAGGGCTGACCTCCATGCAAGGAAGCCCTGGGTTCATAGGCTGATACACTAGAGCTGGAAGGCCATTAAGTCCACCATCTCATTTAATAAATGGGAAAATTGAGACCCGTGGAACTTGTCATCATAGGATGATGTAGGATCATAGACCCAGAGCTAGAAGGGACCCCAGAGGCCATCTAGTCTAACTTCTCATTTTTACAGATCAGGAAACTGAGGCATATAAGGAATAAGTGAATTAATCATTTTTACACAGTTTGAAAATATCATAGGCAGCATTTGAACACAGGGCTTCCTCAATTTAAATTTAAAATAATTCCAGTTGCTTCTCAACGTCACCACTGATATACAGTTGTGGTGTAACCCCCAAGCTCTCAGCACCCACAGGCAACTCTCTTAAGATTAACAGTAACACCCAAGACTATCTTAACAGGTGCGGGGAATTTCCACCCTGAGATTTTCCCACACTGATGAAATTACAGGTTCTGATCTCCTCCTACCTCCCACCCCTCCTCAAAAAAAAAAATGCGGGGTCCTGCCCTAGGTGCTAGAATCAAGGGTATCTGAGCTTGTCCCAAACATATTAATTGTGTGACTGAGCAATCACTCCAGCGTTCTCTCTATACAACAGGCGAGACATGCCTTGCTTACCTGACCTCACAGAGATGCTTTGAGGAGCGAGCTGTGTGAGCTCTAAAAAGACCAGACCGCAGTGTAATCTCTTAATGATGCCTCCCCCCACCTTTAGGCCAGAAGGAGAGGACTTGGGGGCCCCTCCCCACAGGGAGGCAGGACAGGGCTCAATCAGCAAGGAGTTCCAGAAGGGCAGCCTCCCCCCAGCTTTCCTATGGGGGAGTCGTCCTTCCCTCATTACAGACCTCCCTAGCCAGTCTTGGCCACGTCCGCCAGGTCTCCCCAGCCTCCTTCAAAGGCTTACATTTCAACCCCGGGAGTGGAGGGAGGCCGGGAGGAGACAGAGTAGGAGACACAGGAAGAAGCCGCCCCTCCCCAAGTGCCAGGATGAAATACAGAGGCCGATCGTAAACCCAACTTAGCCCATAGCCTCATCAGCCAGGAATTCAGGCACGCCATCTTGGCTGCGCTTATCTTTCCTTCTAAGTGTCTGAAACAGCCCAGTTCCTGTCGCTGGTGATCCATGGGGGTCCTAAATCATGGGGCTGCTTGGTGTGCATGCTGAATCCTGCCCAATCTTCTCCTGACTGGACTTCAGCCAGACTCCATCAGCTCCACGTACCTCTCGGGATGTCGGGCTGCAGGAAGACAAATCTGGGTAGAGACCGACAGCGCCAACAGTCTTCTGTCCACAGTGCTGGCCTGAGCATTGCAGGCGGTGGGGGCGTTTGTGGTCAGTTCCGGGTCCTATATTTGGGGAAGGATTGCCCTAGCTTTAGACTCAGATGAATTCGGTCAAATCCCTGCTCTGACACTCAGGACAAGTCATGTCCTTTTTCTGTGCCTTAGTTTCTTCATCTGTAAGTGATGACAGTTGTGCTAAATGACGACGCACATTTTTGCAGCATTTCTTTCAAGGCTCAGCTCAGGCAATACCTCCTTTCCTCATTACCATCTCCCCAGTTAGTGCCCTCTTCCCCATTGCACTCTATTTACTCATCTATGTACTTAATAAATTCTCCCTTCCTCCAAGAACGAAAGCTCTTTGAGGATAGGGATTGATTTGCTTTTGTCTTTTATCCTAGCCTAGTGACAGACCCTTTAAAAATGAGCCACTTATCCCCATTTATATAGGGAGCTCCAGCTGAGAAAATTCCCTTTGCCATTAAAGATCAATGGCATTCTGCAAATGGCACTCTGTTTTGCCACTAAGCCAGGGGTGTGTCAGCCCCAACTGGCTCCAAGATCTGGTTGTTAAATTTTCAGTGTGATCATTTATACCTCAGAAATCATAAGGCTTGATTTATTGTTTTGTCGATTGTCCAGACTTAGAAAGTGTCTGAAATGTTAACACAGATCAAACTTTAAAAGTGTTACATGGGCATTCTTTTCCCCAGGAGAGCTGGTTGTTAAATATTTCCAAGCATACTACTGCACTAGGCTTAGACCCTTGCTAACATCTAGATTTACCCTGCATTCATTGCTCTGGGATTGGGCTGGCTCCCAATGTTCCAATTTCACCACCAGATTCTAGTTTTAGCTCTAGCTAAAGAAAGCACACACACACACACACACACACACACACACACACACACACAAATACCAGGTATGGGACAGGCACTTTTATTCCCACACATAGAAAAGGAAATGCTAAGCAACAGAGAATTAGAGAATGATCGTACTCAGTTGAGAGGTTAACATTTTAAGCTAATTATATGGCAACAAGGCTGCTCATTAGCTATTTGATATATCACCTCTAACCCAATCGGCACCAAGTGGATGCTTCCTTTCGGTGATCACTTGATCTTGCTAGGCAACTTTCCTTCAGGGCTACTTTGCTACTGTTGTTACTGCAATTTCTCTGGTTGCCTACACCCAACTACTCTGGTGCCCATGAAGAGGTGGATTTTCTGCCTGCCTTTTGAGGTTTCTCTAAGGCTCGTACAAAAGAAGAGAAAATACAAACAAGAGACAACGCCATCCTAGGCATAGACTGCTGGCCTTGACCGTATGGAACTTTTAGTGAATTCTTTGTCATTTGGGTGATGGATTGCCCAGCATATACATGTCTCTTTGCTCCCTTTTATTGGGTTTTTTAATTCTGTGGTTTTGAAGAATGTTTGTTACTCCGAAGAAACGGGCAAATGTTGCAGCTCTTAGAGAGTACCATTCAATGACTGTTAGGGATACTGAAGAGGCTGTTGGTGTGGGGAAGTCATGGGCTTCAAGCATCATTCAAGCTCATAATGAAGCAGGATACATTGCCCCAAAGTGCAATGGAAAGCTGAAAATAAAACATACACTAGACACATTGAAAGAAACCTGAGGGGATAAGAAGTGATTTAGTCAAGTAAACAGAACCAGGAAAACAATGCAGTATATTCGATGATTTATTGGTATTGTTCAGTTGAGTCTGACCCCATTTGGTGTTTTCTTGGCAGAGATACTAGAATGTTTTCTATTTCCTTCTCCAGCTCATTTTACAGATGAGGAAACTGAGGCAAACAAGGTGAAGTGACTTGCCCAAGGTCACACAGCCAGTAGACATATGAGGCTGCATTTGAACTCATGAAGATGAGTCTTCCTGATTCCAAGCCCAGTACTCTCTCCACTTCACCACCTAGCTGTCCCTATACCCAATCATTAATGACAATGCAAATTGAGCCAATATAACCCCTTGAAACTCTCTAATTAAATGTATCTGCCTCCCGATAATGAAAAGATAGAAGGGGTCCTATGGATGTGCAAGGTTGCATATATTGTCAGACATATTTATTGTATTGGTTAGTTTTTCAACACTGCTTTATTTTTCTCCTTTTTAATGTTAGTTATAATCACTCAATTCACCAACAAGTCTTTATCAAGTACTTCCTATGGGCCAGGTACTGTACAAAAGGGTGCTGGTTACACTAAAACCAAGCTATTCACAATCAACGTGATATTAAAAAAAAAAAAAGAAACAAAAAACCCCCAAAATGAAATAGCTTTCAAAAAACCTCTGTTGAATGGAATTGAATTGAATCCCTTCCAAATCTAAATCCTCTGATCCTTGAAGTGTGGGTGAAGTGCTTGCCTCAGCTATCTGACTTCTGCTAAGAGCATCTGGAGCTGCCCCAAGTTCAGGACCCATCCCTAGGTATAAAATCCATGACAGATCTGGGGCACCGTGAGTCCTGAGATGGGATGGCTAAGGAGGACAGGACGAAGGACTTAGGACTTTTCATAGTGATCTCTGGATGATCTCCACAGAGAACCAGAGCCAATTTTCCCTTGAAATCTTTTTTTTTAAAGTTCTAAGTGCAAGGGAAAAAATGTAAAACAAAACAAAACAGTGCGTGCGTGCATGTATGACCTAGTTTGTCGATAATAACTGTTTTTCATAACTCACAGGAACAGCCTTTGAATTCTTCCACATACTGCAAACTCAACTGCCTCCTTTTGCAATAAGCACTAGGAGGTAGGGTGTCCTGGGAAGAGTACTATATTTAGAGTCTGAGGATCTGGGTTTAATCTCTGGCTCTGCTGTCTCCTAATGGAGTAGCCTTGGGCCAGTCACTTAACCTCTAGGGGCCTCAAGTTCTATATTCACAATCCTATGCACCTTGTGACCTGCAATCAAATCCTAGTCAACTCTTGCCACTTACATTGTGAGCGAGCAATTTAACTCCTTGGCCCTCAGTTTCCTTTCCTGTAAAATTGGGGGGTTGGACCAGGTGACCTGCAGAGTATCTTTTAATCACTAATCCAGGATCTTATGATCCCATGAGCATTTGATTTTCAATCAAAATCATGGAACTGTCATTGGCTACCCACATGACTTTGGGCAACCCCCTTGTGACTCAATTTCCTCTCCTGTAACATTAAGATATTTGATTTATCTCTAAGATCTCTTCCAGATCCAATAAATGCTGATTCTTTGACAAACTGAGGTATATACAGAGAAGGGCAAAGAGGATAATAAAAAGGATTCAAGTCCTCTGACCTCTAAGTCTTCTGAAATGTGCTGGCATGGTACGCAGCCCCCTCTACTGTATAAGTATTTACTTGACTCTGAGGTCCAGGAGAACAAGAACTCATTCTAAACCTTCTGGCTCTCCAGGTGCCCACTGGACCTCTCTGCATGCGGACCATGCTTAATAAATCTTTGTTAAAATACAAATCATGGGCTACCCAAGGAACACAAACTAAAATCAGCTGAGTTTTGCCTGGAGCTCTGAATAATTAGCCAAAGTTTCTTCGGGAACACCTTCCTCCCCGAACTTCCCACATGCAGACCGAGCTTCTGGTGCTCTCCTACCAAAGATGGAGAGACACCTTCAAGTTCTCATTAACAAGAATTTCCAAGTTCAACACTTAGCTAATTGTAATGACCAATATTGGCTCCAGAGATGAGATGAAGGACTACAACTTCCTTTCTTTCATCATTTCAATGGAGAAGGGGAGATAGAAGGTAGTGTGTGAGTTATAAATGTGGTCAACATATTAGTTGGTTTTATTCAACTGTTGATCATTTTCTTTCATACAAAAGAATCAATCAATAAACATTTGTTCATGTTGTTGTTGTTGAGCAGTTTTTCAGTCATGTCTGATTTTCTGTGTCCCCATTTGGGGTTTTCTTGGCAAAGATACCAGAGTGGTGACTTCCACTTCCAGGAGCCAAGATAGTGGAGTGAAAAGGTAGTCGCTTTCACTCTCCCCTATCAACCTCTGAAAAGCCAGAAAATATCACCCCAGGAAAAAAACCCTGGAACACCTGAACTAGAAGAAAGACTGAGGAGCAGCAGTACAGCAGCCCAGCAAACGGGTCTCCCAGTGCCTCAGCAAAACTAGGGGAAGCAGCACTGCAAAGGACCCCAGGCGGATAAGCACCCTGCAGCATTCATCTGAAAGGAGGTGAAGAAAACAACCTAAAGGCTCCCTAAAGCCCGGGCCTTGCTGATTCCAACCCAACACCAGGTGAGCTGTAGGAGCCCTGAAGCCTCCAATTGTGAAGAAATCCTGAAGCCCAGGTGGTAGAGCAGGCAAACACCAACACCTGGACCTCCGAGTGCCTCAGTGAAGGGGGGGAACCGGTGGAAACCAGCTCAGAAAACCACCAGGAGCCTTGGCACTCCACCACAAAGGAATCTCCAGGTGCATTAGCAGAAATGAGGGAGACAACACTGCAGGGCCCCAGGCAGATAAACACCCTGCAGCACCCATCTAAAAGGAGCTGAAGAAAGCTAAAGGAAAGGAAAAGCAGGCAACCTAGAATTGCCT